ATTGATGGAACTGCAATAGTTGTTTTGTGCACTTTTCTGTTTCTCCCTTTTTATCTTTGTTCATTTCTTGGCTTTCTCTTATGATGTTTCTTTGAATTTCTTTCGTTTCCCTTTGTGGTTATCATTATTTTCCTTCGGCCACTTTTTGAAACTCGTTGACGTTATATTATTGTCTTTTTTGGCCACTGTAACCATTCATCGTAACCTACCAGTTTTTGTGATTGAAGGTGATAAATTTCAAATCTAGGTTTTGTTCTGTTTCGCTGTTTGGATGGATGAAATCACAGGCGGGTATATTGCGTCTCCAATAAACAGAAGATGAATTTTGACTTTGCAGGTTTTGTGTGCATGCATTTCATTACTGTGCCTGTAAACTTGTTCTCTTGTTTCTGTACTTCTTGTACAATGATTAAGCGCTTCCTTTTTCTCAGTAAAAGAGGCCAGTTTGCTTTCCCGTTCATCCTGTAGACTTGCATTATTATATCCTATAGTGTGGTCAAAAGTTCGTGGCGCAACTTATAGTCAAATATCTCCTTAACTATCAAACATTAACTCTCCGGCTTTTGTGCAGTGACTTGTATCAATTTGTCTTAACAGAGCAATATTTTTGTAAAGACCTGTTAGCTGTATTCTAGAAAAAAATTCCTTAACAAATATTAATGTTTAAAAATCCTAGTGGGTGGTTTCTGTTGATTTTAAAAGGTTTACAGCTGGGACGATATCGCTTTTAAAAGCTAGTCCGTCATTTGTTTTTCTAATCTCGAGATTATCTTTATTGAAAGCATGTTTTGAGAAATTTTAGGGCAAAAAAAGTGTTCACTATAAAATTAATTTCTTGTAACTAGTTTTGCTACTAAAAAGTATCACTGGTGTGAGCTGTGACGCTATGACGTTACCCATAAACGTATACAAAATGTGTGTGAGAAGCGGGAAGTGCTGGGAACTATTCCATTTTCCGCGTGAAGGAGATTTGCAGACTTTGTATAAATTTGTGACAAAAAGAGTTTTTTAGTCTAGCCTCAACTGTTGTGGAAAAATGTGATAAAGTTAAGACAAATTGAGACAAAGTGCTGTGCAAAGAATGGGTGACATTGATTCACCCGTTAAAAAGATATTTGAGGATAAGTACCGCCACGAATTTTTGATCGCACTATACACTGTGCATTCTGACGCAATTCCGGCCCAGAAAGGACAATTAGTGAGTAAGGCTGCTCGCACACTCGACTTTAGCGAGGTTGGATTTGGGTGCCCATTGTATGCACGCTTCGCGGCAATTTTGTATAGATAGCAAAGAGCAACATTCATAGAAATGCACGGTCTGGGATATTATAATTCAAGTCTGTGGTTTATTTAGCTATGTCTACGTTCAAAATGGATCTGGTTTAACGCCTCTATCAACACCATTAGATTATTAAAAGAGGCGGGACTTCGAATTCAACATCCGTCTCGAAAAGGATCGAGCTTTGATAGCTTTGAAAACTCCACAAAACGACTCTATGTCAAGAGTGCCCAGTCTGGGATTCGAACCAGAGCCATCCGCTCCATGATACCAACTGAACTAATGGAGTGCCTTATCTATAACTGTCAGCTGGGGTGTATCGTATTCAGCTCTGGTGGTCTCTGACAGGTAGGGTCGAAATAACTCAGCTTCTAAATGATGGAATGATCTACGTTGTTTTGATTGAGCATGGGATATAAAATACTTACTGTCATGGGGAACGTGGAACATCATCTACACTTAAATAGGAGGAGCAAAAAGGGCCCCAAGGCACTGATGCATTGCACAGTAAGCTTAAAGTCGTGGACGTGGATTTTGCCAATAAAGCTCACAGTATGTTAGTGTTTGAGCGCCTATAAATGGCTGCTTGCACTGTATGCTTCTCAGGAAGTTGAATTTGTTTCAGAATGCTCTCAGGCCTGCTGGGATAATCGTATAGATTGGGAAGCTCATAGAGCTGGCTGTTGAGCGGGGATTTTCGCTATACAAAAGCCATCTATTATTATTAAGTTATGCGGCCAACAGAGAATAGTGAATCTACTTTTAACCATACTTTTCAGACGCCTTTCGTAGGGTGTTAGAGTGAGTATAGCATGATGGCTTGGGGCCAGTTTTCTACTTTTTTTACATAAAGTTCGATTTAACTTTGTTAACATAATTGGATTTTGGGAGTCGTAACGTAATATGTGGACATGAAACGGTAGGTTGACCCGTGGTACTTATCGTTTCATGTCAAAATGATATGATACGAATCTTCAAATTCAAATGTTTTAACTACTATACGGAAAAAAACACTCATGCACACACACGCGCGCACACACACACAAATACAGAAATTAACACATACACACGCACATAAGCACACACATATACAAATACACATACGCATACACCCATACACAAAAAAACTAGCAAACACTCATATACACATACTTAGATATAGCAGCAGCCCGCCTCGTTAATGACTAAATTATGCTGTTGGGAACGTAAAAAAGAATTACAATTTACAATCAAATATCTACTTCCAATTTGGGATGTATGCTGGAGAGCAGAGAGTGAACAATTTATTTTCCTTTTAATCAATGCTTTATCAAATCCTGTAACATGAAAGTTGAACTTGTTTTGAGGTAGTCACTAAATTAGAACTACGAAGTTCTGACATTTTTGGAGGTTTTGGGTGACTAACACCATGAGGTTTAGAAACAAAAATCTGCTCTATCAAAGTCCTAAGATTATTCGGAGTGATCATCAAGATATTCAAAGAATTGTACTCGAAAAATCTGGACATTTTTGGAAACTCCAAAACTGTTACGTCAAATTTCTCAAAACTAGGTACGGAACAGATATAACTTAGTAATTCTAGGGTAGTGTAGTGCCTAACTTGTTTTCAGACAGAGCTAATCATCGTGTTATTCAACTTAATTTGTGGGAAGAAGACCGGCGCTGCCCATCGAGAATCAATGTTGCCTCCTAAGGCAAAAGTTAACCAACAATAAACCAATTAGCAGTCACCCAAGACACAGCACCGACATAATATTCTAGCCATTCTCTGAAATTACAAGGCTAGTAAAATTGTATAAGATTCAGAGCCTCGAGTCAGGTACAAAATTAAGATTTTTAGTATCGAGGTCTATTGGGTTTAGACTCCTACTTTACATCAACATTGAAAAGTAAGTCCTTCGCCTTCAGGCTTCCAGCCAGCTTCTTTTAACTGGACACTACTGAAAGGAGTACTGAACCCATTCAATTTGTTTAGTCTTCTCTTTGTAGTGGATTTTAAAAAGCCTTTAAATAATGTAGTTCATGGAGTTAATTCCTCTTAGTACAGAATTTGATTTTGTATTTGCACCTGGACTCAGGGTCATATCCAGCTGACCATGAAAGCCAAGGGCTAGGGTGCTTTGATTATTTTGATGTTTGCAGGAGTAAGTGCAATTTTCAAGGTTTTTCTTCTTGATATAAAGCAAAAGGACTTAATTTAGAAGGGATATGGGAGAGGTGGTAGCCCTTCAATTTAGAAGTCATCTCTGCAAAAGGTTTTTATTTGGAATGAAAGGAATAAATTGAACTGACCTGTTCTATGTTAGTGGTATATTTGCAACCATTGATCAGGAAGAGTTCTGCTTCTGGGAAGACTTGTACCTCGTGATATGAGGACTTCTGTTTTCAGAATAGGTTACAAACCACAGGTTACTTAGATTTTGTTGAGTTTTTTTTTTATTATTAAATTTTATTGCTCAATTTTCAGTATGAGCCCTAGTTAGGGGACAAGGGACGAGAGATGGGGTGTTTGCTTGCTGATTTGTTTGTTTGTTAATTTGTGTGTTTGTTTGTTTATTTGTTGTTTGTTTGGGGATAGGGACTACATCTAGTTCAATGCTTAGGACAACGTCCTGGGTACACTTTTATTCATTTTGGTACATGTCTGACTTCGGTTAAAGACACACGAACCAGAGTCTATGGTGTAGCATTTATGCGCTCTGCCGTCGCACACAGAAGACCTGAGTTCGATTCCTTTGTGGGGAGAATTTGACGAGTATTTTAGTCTTTCTGCTGGGGACGTTGTATCCCTGTCAGCCTGGGTTGGGATAGATATGCAGCGTCGAAGCTGGCCTCCTTAAAAATCCATTGGTTTTCCGTGAGAGCGCAAAATATTTATATTGTACGACGCAAGCTGAAGTGTCTAATGTCCATAGTATTAAAATTTGGCTCTTAGTCGTTGCACGCAGAAGGCTTTCTTTGAGGGAAGTGTATTTAGGTAGCTCTGTCTGTCTGCTGGGATGTGATGATCACTCAGCCCGGGTTGACTCAGAAAGAAGCAGTCGTGTACCTCGAAATGAATGCCTTGGTCATTCTCATTAGTCAACGTTCAGGTTTAACGCTACTGTCAAAACAATATAGGCTATTTAAGAGGTGGGGGCATCCGAATGTAGCGTCCTTCTCCGAAAGAACATAGCCAAGTGGGTGAAGAGCCGTGAAACCTCCGCAAAACAACCCAAGATCAGAAAGCCTCTTTGAGGATTAAAGCCGGGACCATCCATTCTGCAGTGCAGCATGATACCAGCTGAGCTAAGGGTCGGCGGGTGCTCTGGTGGTTGGCGGGTGCTCTGATGTGGTTTGCTCCTTCTTTCCTGTCTAACATCTATAATCCTTATCCCCTTCTTTTATTCTCTGCATGTTACTCTCTAGTTACACTTCTAATCTTCAGCACAAATATGACCTATTTGTGTCGCAAATGCCGTAAAACTCTTTATTAAAACTAAAAACCTACCAGTTGTTTCTCGAACCTTTCTGCATCAAAACACCCTCTCTTTCCATTCTGCCTGCCTTTGTTGTTTTGCTTCCAAGTCAGGTTTCTATTTCTTGTCCCATGTTAGGTTACCCCTACCCTCCCTTTCAGCCTTTGCTTCCAGAATATCGAGTAAGTAATGGCATTTGATGCCCATAACAAAAAACACTAAAATAAATAAATAAATAAATAAATAAATAAAAGCAACCGCGATACAGCTGGTATCTAGTTTATTCCGCATGCGGAAATTTAAGGTTCGAACCCGAGAGGGACAATCAATATCTTTCAGGAATGCTCCTTGATTAAGACCTGATGTCTTGTTTCCACATAAATACACTGAACAACCACAAGGAAAACGTACTCATCTTTGAACTGGAAATAGAAAGACCCCCCCCCCCAAAAAAAAAAAACTCATTTGGTTTTACATCACACAATGTTGTATAGCTTTGCGTATTTTTTTTTCATCTAAAAGTTGTCTCTCGCCAAATCACAAAAGTAAATTTTCAGACACAGCAAATACACTTGTGATTTTCAACATGTTCTTAATTCAAAACGAGAACTCAGTATGTGTTATTTCACGTTAATTGTTTACCCTGTTATAACGTTGAATCTAACCAAAGCAGACTATAGGCCAAAATTTTCAACACTGCAATTCATCATGGCCCCATAACACGTAGCATAATATTTCCAAAAATATTATTGTTAACATTCGCGACATAAACATATGCACTGCACTGAAAGCAAGCAACAAATACTGCACTTTTCAATTGCATGAAATTTTCAGTAGTCCTTCCACTGCCATTAAATTTATGAAAAACTGCTTTGGTCTGTTCGTTTGAAATATGAATA